CCTTCTCAAATGCACAAGCATCTGCAGAATGCTTATATGTACAGTCAGTTCTTCGTCAACTTGAAAGCACATGATTACCATTCACATTTAGGCCACATACCTGTAGGTAAGGCTATGTACCAAAAAATAAATTGGGCATACCCTTCTATAAAAACACATCAGAAATAAACATATTATGATGTAACACGCATTATAATGCTTCCATCCCACACCTACCCAGGTCCACCATCCCACTGTCACTGCAGTCCAGTCATGATGCTGAATCATCGTTATAAATAATTAAATAAATACACCTGTCATCTGTAGAGTGACGTGAGCAATTTGCTCATTCAACGAACGACTGTACTAACCACTTAGCAACAGGCATCAGTCCCGAATTACCTTTCAGGCAAGTGCGTGAGTAGCTTCTTCTACCATTGTTTATTCAAGGACAAACATGTAGCAATCATAAGAAACACGAAATATTATAAAGTACTTGTTGAAATCCTTGTAGAAAGAGGCTAACTGGAAGACCAACATGCAGATATGGTTTCATATTAAAATGGAGATATGTGAATCTAAAATGGACAGAAGTTTACAGTGACACCAATACATAAAAGGAATTTCTTGAAAAGCTGATGGAAAAACTCTCTTGGTCTGTGCCAGAAGTTACTGGGTGATCCAATCAATCACTAACACATGCTCTGATCTCCCAATGTTCAGTTCGCTGTCTGCCTTACACAGCTATCTCGTCCTTGCAGTGCTCCTGGCCACCAAGGCAAGGAGCTGCATGCTGCTGTGCAGACTGCAAAACGGTTGGCTACGAAAGGTAGGCCAGAAGAGGATCACAGCTCATTTGTCCCGCAATTAGGATGACAGAAAGTCAAGAATGTCTCCTTCAGTATACGAAAACGTCATTTCACTACACCATGGTTCACATTTTTTGGTTCCTTTGAGCCCTAAGTTGAAGATAAAAAAATAATATAATTGATGTTGAGCGGTATAAACTCATCCCATCCCAAACTCAGAGATGATGTAACAGACATTCCTGTGCAGTTTGGAGTTCTCACAGGGGTATCTCCAATAAGATACAATGTAATTTTCAAGGCCACTCTGAAGATGCAGGCAGTTATGTTCTTCCAAAACGTGCACACCCATGTAACAAACTACAGAGCATCACATTTCAGAAGAATCTAGATCAGTAATACTTCTTTCTGTAACATAACCAATAAAGCACTGTACTTGGTTGTAGACTTACGAGCGACTTCTGTTGACTGACTGACAGGTCGTAAGTCGATCTGGTTGTATGTCAGCCATATATTTATTAACAGCATTTGTTAACCTTTCTAATCTTTCTATCATTTTTATAATTTATTTTTAAAGACTTTTACATTTTAAACATATTTTATTTTCCATTTTTTTGTTGTTGTCATAAGTCACATAGGTCATAAGTTGACGACCAAGTGTATTTATATTTTACTTCCAAGCTGATCTCTGCATCTTTAATGGTGTTCTGCAATATGTATACGTAGCACAGTCTTCAAATGCAAATTTGCTGACTACTTTTGTCACTTTGTCTCTGTAGTGATGCAAATTCATGCCATGTTTCAGCTATACAGGACCATCACCATAATATGTGCTAATTATTACACTCCATTGTAATGTTATATGGATGATAACAGCTGTACACCTATCTGTAAGTTCTGAAGTTCAGAAAAAGCAAAGCCAGATGTGGGACTGGCTGTTTGAAAGTTCACACAAACCGGTAACTTACAGGAATGAGTAATTTCTGCACAGCCTCTTATTGTCTACTGCTTGTTTGTATTATATTTGCAACAGAGTCAATCAATTTTAGGAAACTGTATTACATATTACAAATGACATGAACTGTACACAGAGAGACTCTCATTACAGCGCTAGGAATGTTCGCCTGAGAGGAAACTACATTCATAAAGTGTCAGGACAATAAATGGAAAATAAATGCAAAGAAAATTCCAATGAAAATTAGGGGCTTTAAAGAAATTTTTATTTATATAGATAACAAGGAATTTCACAAAGCTCAGGTCTACTCTTCCCCTAGCACTGTTAAATCTAGGAAAGAATATGATGGCATGAGCATGTGGATTGGAAGAGAAAACACAAAATGCATTTGAAATTTTGGTAGGAGAACAACCTCTTCAGAAGTCACCAGACCAAGATGTAGAAGTGAGGATAATAATGAAATGGATTTAGGTAGACAGGTTACGCTAATGTAAAACTGACTGAACAGTTCAAGAATGAGAGTGGATGTCAGATTTATCTGTTTCAGGGATCCTCCTGAACAGTTAGTCTGTTACAGTGCCTCGCAATTTTCGGGTTTACTGCATAACGCAGGTTAGACAGACAAACAAACTCCGTGGCCTGTAGTACACCAGAGAACTATACTGACCAAGCGACTGCTGCTTGTCGGCAAAGTTAGTGCCAACTTTAGCGGAGAGAGGGAGTCACGTGCTCAGCGCAATGGATCCCCACAGCAGTTAATCTGTTTTCTAGACCAGAGCCACTACTTCCTTGAAATAGCTCCTCACTTATCCTCATGAAGCTGAGTGGACCCTGTTCCAGACCCACTACTTCTCAGAAAATCTGGTAGCGCCATGAATCAAACCCAAGACCTCTGGATCTGTAGGCAGGAACTGTGACCACTAGACCCCAGGGGCGGTCGTGTAATGCAGGTAAGCATGAGAAAAATATAACAGTATTGAAATGGTCAATCAAACAGAACAACTGCATAGTGGCATTTACATACAGGGGCCCAGATAATGTATACACTCCATTCTGCCATCACTTTCTCTGACTGACTTGACACTTGTTAAAATGCCTAGACATTTATGTGACAAGCATCGTATTTTGAGAGAATATCACGCTACACACCATACAGTGCATTTCTATTCAAGTCTGTGTCCATAGACAACCTCTATTTAAAGCATGTATATGTTGTTTTGGGCTCCTCTGTAGTTTAATCTCATGTACTCTTTGAGAGTATAAAATGAGCTGTCACACTGTCTGCATGCCGACAAGTTTTTCAAACTCTCAAGGAACACACACACCAAAAAAAAATACTCAACAGACATCCACAGGGAATTCTACCAAGCAACACTGGAATATCAAGATATTCCAGTGAAAACTGACATGGTCACTTTCCTACTGCACAAGATTTCCAGTCCCACAAACCTTGTATTGTCTGAGGCCACATTTCAGTAACTTAAGTTTAACAAAACCTAACCTAACCTAACCTGAATCCTATTCCAGTGACAATTTCCTTATTCCCTGCCATGCCTTTGCTACTACTGTTACTACAATTCTCTTATTTCCTTTTCAGGAAAGAACTTACTCTGTATTCTTTGCATGTTAAATTTGTCAAATTAACCTCAATGATTTGCACCACAACCATGTCTGTAACTGCTGACCCACACAAACAATACTGTGTGGCATGTAAACCCTGTGTTTAGGCAATGACCACGGAGCAAACAATTAGACAACAGCCATCACCAGGCAACAACCCATAAACTGCAAAATAGTAGCAGTGTTTTTTTTCCATGTGGTCCATGTGAAGATGTTATAAAATAGGATAGACAGACCCAGTGGAGGTTGCCGGTCACACCTCACGGAGGAGCTCTATCATTATAAGTTACTGTGTAGCAACTACAAGTTAGTTGTGAGAGTCACCAACTGGTAAGAACGTGAGCACGGAAGCACAGGACACTACTGGATCCATCACCAGGCAATGACTGGTAAAAACAAAGGAGGGTGAGAAGACTTAGTGTGTCCTATAGTGATTTGTTAATTGTAGTAATGAGTTTTGTAAGTATTCAATAAATCTGATTACCAATTCAAACGCCGTCTAAAGTCACTTGATAATATTGTGACATGTTGCCTGAAAGCCAGAATAGTGGAGTCAGAGCCAGACGTCCATTGATGAGCAATGACTAAATAAACACTAAGTTTTCATTACAATGGCTAGCTAAAACACGTTCCTGCAGCAATGAATATGCTGGTATAAATCAAAGCATTGCCCAGAGATTGTCAAACGTTACAGTGACAATGGACACCCAGATTACAACAGACAAACTGTTCAAGTGTGCGTTCCGTTCGTTGTACCCACTGGGTCATAAAAATACATAATTCATTTGCAGTCAGCTGTACTGAGTAGTAAGAGAGAATTTTAGAGACTAGAGGCTCAAAATTCATTAGTCAAGGATTCAATAGTTGAAGTGTTAACCAGATAAGATTTACCAAGCAATGACTGAGCAGGCAGATGTTGAAGACTGTTTTATGCGTTACAGTTACAGTAATCTTTCTAGAGTACTATAATTAGTTGTATTTACAACTTGTGAGTATCCAGTAAATCTATTCATCAATCCAAGCCCCATCTACAACTAAAACAAAAAATATTTTTAGGTATGTTTATCACATAACTCCATACAAAGTTTCATGGGCTATCTCCAACAACTTATTAGTTATCACTGCCATACTGAAAGCTAAAAGAAAATTTCAGACATCTACAAAAAGACTGTCTTAATAAACAAAAGCTTCATATTTTTTCCAGCATCTAGTATATCACACAAGAACTCTGTATTATTTTTGGTAAGACATTGTCCTCAGCAACTGCACTCTGTACCATAAGTAAAATTAGGACTGAATTCCATCAAGTGCAATAGTGTTTTAATAGCAAAATTTAGCCTTTACATGTTCTGGCCAAAGATGGTCATCATCAAGGGCTGTACTAATCGCCAACTATCCTCCTGCCTACTCAGCAGTTCATGCATCTGGGTTGGGGTGATTACAATCGCATAATATTCATACAAAATTCCATAACTGACCAAGAGATTCAAATGTTCAATGGGAATACAAAAACACATAACAGGATGGTGATGTCACAAGAATATGCTTTCCCTTAAGAGAAGAAAGAAGCAAGCAAGCTGCCTAATTTGTCTCTGTACCATTTCCACCACTGCACTTCGAACATGAATTTCTGTACTCACCGCTCTTGCAATATGTGGTTCGACTCATGAATCATCTTGCTCATCAGCTGCTGAAGATCATCAATCCGTCTGCCCTGTTCTGCTCCACCATGAATGAGCAGAGGGCTGAACACAGCAGCGACCCCGCCTGAAGTCAAATGGTGACAGTGATTCTTGTGTCCATGTTGCTCATAATGCCACAAGAATCTTAGAAGATACCTCAGCAAACATATACTGGGATCAGGTAGGGTCAGAAGTACCTGGCACACAGCGTCGCGCCACTGAGCAATTTCATCATGAAGCTCTGAAATCATACATACAAGAAGAAATTGGCTTCAGAAAAAATCATCATACAATTCTATGAGAACACACAAGAACAGGCATGAAACTGTATTATCACCAGGGCCCGGATTTTGATGACATGTCATCTTTTTTTCTTTATGTAGTAAATGTTGCTTTTAAGTACTAAAGCCTCGATTATGAACCTCTGATTATAAAAATGTGAATTTTATTGTGCATTTTTTTGGTCATATTTTGTATGTTTTAAGTTTTAGGTCATTTTTACAAGTTTTTATGTCATTTTTTCATGTTTTACATCAATCTGGTTATCTTTCACGTTTTTTAATAATTGATATTCATTGATCTAACTGAAGATATTTGATTCTATGTTCTTCAAGTAAATTTTGTTTTGTATCTCTAGCCTCTGTCTCTAAATATAATAGATTTGTTTGAGAGAGAGCACATTATTTTTCTTTCTAAGCCAGAGATGCCGTTACTGTCCCGCGCCGCTTTCTAACACAACGCTATGTCATAAACTCATAAAATTGATGCCTCAGAAATGCAGAGGGATAGGTTTAGAGAGATGTCCAGGTGTCATAAAATCAAGAAATTGGGAACTAATTTACACAGTCTGCATCTACCCGATTTCAAGAGGCCATTTTTTTAATTTTTAGGTCATTTTTTAATATTTTTTGGTCATTTTATAGATCATTTTTCAGATATTTTTAGGTCATCAAAATCCGGGCCCTGATTATCACCATCACGGCCAGCTTCTCACAGCAGATAAGTGCAGTCCTAATGAGATCTGAAGAGAACTACGCTTCTGCAATGTGACAACATGTAGTCTGGTAGAAGTTCACTGACATTTTAAAGTAGCATACTGCCTCCAGCTTCAGAGTGGATGGGTATATCAAGCAAGCAGCAAGCAGCCAGCAAGAAGTAGGTGGCAAGCAGACCACCTGCCAGCCTCTAACAGTCAGGGGCCCCTGGAACTGGGAGGGCAGGAAGGTGGCCACTGTCCTGCATGGTGATCCTAGACTGCAATCTGTCTCCCCACACTTCTGTACTACCATACACCTACATATCATGCCTACTGCCAATTTCAGTTCTCTTCTATGACACTGCTACACATACAAGGGTTGGAACTTCAACAGTGGCAACACTGCTGTAAAGACGCCATGCAACAGAACCAAATAATGTCGCTTATACCACACATCAGTTACATACCTACCTTACCTCAGAGCAAATGGACTCTCCCTTCACACATCACAAGCATGCACGGTGACGAGAAGAACAGAGCCTCGTGTTAGCTGGCGGTCTAATGTAGTGTTGTCACGATGTTTTCGAAACAGGAACAACGTAGTTGGATAAAGAAGCGCATATAACTGTGCTTCGCATTCTGAATGAACGCCTGGGCATGAGAAAAGTTGCATCACGATGGGTTCAGCATGATCTGATGGAAATGCAGAAATGACTATGATACGACGCTGCTCGTAACCACTTGGAACACTATGAGGGTGAAGAAGAGGCTTTCTTACGCCGTATCATTGCACTGGATGAGACATGGGGCTTCGACTTGATTCCTAAGGTGAAGGTACCACTTCGTGGCATTCGCTTCAGAACTATTTCAGAGATTCTTCAGGCAGTAGACCGCTCCAACAGGCGCTTCTAAAGGTATCCTAGACTTCCACATCACTGGCAATGGGTTGTACACAATGCTGGTGACTATACAGAAGGAGAGTAAAACTTTGAAACATGCATCTATTTTGTATCAGTTGTAAATAAATAGTTGCCACTATTAAAGTTCCAACCCTCGTAGTTACCGAATGCCCTAAAAATATGCCTACCGTACTGTGACAGAAAAGCAACCATAACATAAAGGTGATCGTTATGCCACTCTGTTCCGTTTAGCAGTAACATGAAACGAACAGCAGTGTGTGTAAGCCATGACAGTGTACAAGATCCATGAAGAAAAGGCTCCACCTTTTCTTAGACTGCAACACTGGAATGGGAGAGCAATCAGCCATTCTGGCCACTTCAATGTGACAACTACACGCAAACTGTGCACTTACTTTCATGTATATCCAACAGTTCTGTTGCCACATGACTAGCAATAACAGGCTCAGGAAGTTCCCTGAGCCACAATTTCAGAAGAGATACAACTGTAGCGACATCTCCAACACCCTCCAAGTCAGCATCACCGGTGCGATCAAATGACAGTCGTAGACGCTCCACCATCTTTGGATTTCTGGGGGATAAGCGGCACAGTCCGCAACATTTCAAATCTACATCAGCAAAAGATAAACAAAACTGTACTTCTGAAGTGCTCAATGGTGACACTGTAGGTGTGCAAACAGTGGGAATACAATCAGAGCCGCTGTATGCATACAGCGTCCATACAACTCATAATGTTACAGACCTACAATACTTGAGTACCACACAATACAGAATAATATAAAAACGTTTAAAAAGTTAGGCAATGTTAATATTTCTGTTATAATTATTCTATTTTGCTGAAATACCTCTAATTATGGAAAAAATGCATTTGCCATAAAATTCATGCTTTTTCTCTACAAATTTTATCAATTAATGATACGTGGCAGCAGAACCACATCCCGTGTTTTAGGCGTATGTGTGTAATACAACAGTAGCAGAACTCAAACATATTCCATAGCACTTGAGTTCCTGGGCCAGTTCCAACATACCACTACCATCCCATGACATTTGGAGTGGATGGTTTCTAAGGTGATTTCCTGCCTAAATTCTGAAACCATTTCTTACCTCCCCATTCCCTGACATGTGCCTAATCCATCACAGTCTCCCAGAATTCACAATTCTAACAACAATACATGACCTGCATGGATTACAAGGTTCCTCCATTTGTAATACTTTTCCTGTGCACTTTGTCCTCAGGCATTTGTAATTCACCTTTTCACCCTACACACACACCCAGCGGCACAATTTTTATTTTTAACATTCAGTGTTAGAAGAGCATTCAGATGACAGAATAACAAGTTCACTGCATTCCCACAGATTATTCTTCTCCTGATTCTATCACGAACTTCCCAGATACTTATTGAGTATTGAGTATATAGAGGGGGTGGGTTTCCCCATGGACTTAGACCAGTTATTGGTCCATTGTGGGTCCCCCTTTTAATTTCTACTGTCTCCATACCCTACCGGTACTGGTGCTCGCTATTAGCCCCTTCTGCCAGCGAGGTTCCAACCTTCTACTGGCAGTGGTATCCAATAGTTAGTCCCTTTCTCTCAGAGAGATTCCCCCTCCTCTGGCAGTGGTACCTAATACTTTCCCCCTCTACCGGAGGCATTGGAAACTACTTTGGGCGGGAAACTTTTTGCCAAATTTAGCTCAGAGGTCTCCTAGAGACATGAGGTTCTTTTACGTGCCGTAAATCTACGACACGGGACCCACGGCTTAAAGTCCCTCCCGGAGGACTTGTTCCCTGAATTTTTCCACCCTTAAAAATTCCACGACCTCCGCCGGGTTTGAACCCGCGTACCTTGAGTCATGAGGTGGGAACGTTACCCCTAGACTACGGAGGCCGCTTTCCCAGATACTTATATTTTAAAATTTTCTCTAGCAATTTACTGTTCATAGATGTGTTGACTCCACTGCTAATTTTAGTGTCAAGTAATTTATTTCGCTTTATCAAACTGCATATTTACTAGTAAACCATTTTCCTCAGAGGGTAAGATATTACAAGCTTTCTATTTTTTTAAAAAAATAAGAAAAGTGGGCCCAAACTGATGTTAAACAGTGTGGGACGGTGAAAATTGGATTCAGCTGTTTCAGAAAAGGTCCAGTGGCAGACTCATAAACATCGTGGGCGAGGAATTTCTTGACTAATTCGGTGACTATTATTAGCTCAACAAGGGGCCCTCCTTTTGCACAATACACATCAGCTCACCGTGTTTCTCAATGTAGCCACAGAGGCGCAAGGCCACTACAGGCACTCCGTCTCTTCCTACGGGCAGTTCCTCCAGACGCAGACCGAAAATACGGCCTCCACCTCCACCTCCCCCTCCTCCCCCTCGGCGTCCCATCAGCAGCGTTCCTGTCAGCATTCGCTTCACACGCGACAACCGGCTCTCCTCCTTGCTGCCGACTTCGACGGGGGAGTAGCAGTCTTCCACGGCGGCGACGTTGCTGCAGAGTGTCGGGCGTCTCATGACGTCACAGCAAGCCTCCTGACTTGTGGAGCCGCACTGAAAGACACTTCAATGCTATCAGCAAGCCAACTGAAATGTAGTGCAACATCTGGCGGATCCTTATTACGGAACGCAACCCAGAACTACTGCAAGCTGAGATGTGTTACGTGCTAAATGTATGACCGCTGCTAAAAGCACTCTAATTCGTAAAACGCCAGGCCTAAAGGATAAACGCAAAGTTTTCTCTGTGTCTTAGACAAGGCCACAGAAGCAAAAAAGTTCGTTAACAAACGCTCAGTCCTTAAGAACCTTGTGACTGTCTTGCAGAATGCAAGTCTGCGACATCACCGCAAGGTTTACGGGCTCGTATCCACAGTTCCGGTCTTGCGAACCTCATCTTGCACCGCAGTGCTTTAGAAGTTCCGCATTCAAACCGCGGCATGTTCACTGGGCTATCCTCACTAAGAATGTTCGTGGTCTTTCTCAGTATCTACAGGAAATACTAAGATGGGGCACAAAATGACGCCATTGCCGTTTCTCCTTAGACATCCTTTCCAATTCATTATTCACGAATCATGCTACCATTCGACGGTACACAATCTGTTACTGCGGGCAGCACAATGTGGCATCAGCTTCTGACCTGACCGTTTACGTACAATACACTACTGGGCCCTGCATTACTGACGTCTACTGACTTGATTAGTGAGGCACATGCCTCCATATAAATACCAATCTGCCTGTATAACGGCAAGCTTCCAAATGAAGCAGGCTTCTACAGAATTCTCGAAACCTTGTACGATATGAGCCTATCTCAATAGTGGAGAATGTTCAACACAACCGTCGTCACGGGCCCTACATTTCCCATTATCTGAGGTCTGGTAAGCATGTGGCGTGTCCTCGGCCGGTGTCTTAAGAACATGACCTTACATCTTGTGCCATGGATCGCGCTCTCCCTTCGGGACTGACAGATCAGATGTTCGCCCCCTTCCCTGCCGAGTATCGTTAGCCCCGTGCTGCTAATAATGTGATTATACACACATATGATAGAATGAAACAGTCGAATACTCACAATGCACTCCCTTGCGACGTTCCACAGGGTGCTCAGAATATCCGAAGGCACGCGCACACACAGACACACATAGTAGCAAGCAGGTGGAACACAAAACTTGAGAATGTGGTAAATGAAACAGATCGACTATTAAAATTATTATAGAAGGAATTATGGTATGTCTACTGATCACTTGTGAGAACTGTTCGTGGTATATGTTCTTGACTGGTGGAAAGAAACAACTGTTTCTCTTACTATATTTGTAGAATAACCAGAAATAACATTGCAATTGTTCTTCAAATTTGTGTTCACTTGTTCAGGGATTCATGTCTCGATCACGACACATGTTGACGTCACAGTGCGTCTATGGCTGCTTCAGGAAGTGGGTAGACACGAGACGTAACGTTAGCATGGAGTGGAAGACGCCACCACTTCTAGATTGTTGTTACGTCACTTTGCCCTCACTCACAGTCAGTCCGTGTAGACGACGTCTGCAATCACAAATAAACATACAAACAAATCAGAGTGCGCTAATCGACATTCTCAAACTGGAAAATGAATCGGCTACGCAATGCACAGCACTGCAATGCTGCAGCGTGTGACGCCGTGCTGCCCCCATCTACCCTGAAGATGAAGACATCATGTTCCTCCGAAAAAGAAAAACTTAGGTAGCCTAGTTAGTTGAGGCACTACGATAAAAGCCGGAAGGTCGCGGGATCGAATCCCGATGAGGTCACTGAATTTTTTCAATTGACCTAATCCTTCCAGCCGCACTACGGCCCTGGGGTCGACTCAGCCTCTAACAGAAATGAGTACCACGAATATTCTCAGGGACCGGCGCGTAAGGCTGACAACCTTACCGCCATCTATGAGCCGACTGTCTAGCAAATGTCTGAACCTCAACATCTCACAACCCTACGGGCCTCCAAGGCCTGTTACGGGATACCTTTACTTACTTACACAAGCACCCACCAGACCGCACGGTTTCATAACCCATAACACCAACACCTAAACCTCGAATCACTCCTCGCACTTCCAGAAAACGCCAACTGCCGGGCATACTTCGTTATCCTGAAGGCCCTTACGCAGAGAAGCATATCCAGCTGTATTACCATTCTTCTGCGGAAAAGTGAAAGTCCGATGCCTGCAAAACCAGCTCCATAAACCACTCCACCTGAACGCTCGTACAAAACTGTACGGCTTCACATCCCCGAAGACCGTAATCCTAGAGTTATCCTGCTTCGCGGCAACACGCAGTACGTGTGCACATTGACGTGTCAAGGTCAAGGCTGTACGCAGCAAGTGCGGGCTCAGATCGATACGGCGTAAACCGCTGGGCCGCTCTGAGGCGCAGAAACTGTTCATTCTGCCACGAGCTCAAACTGGGACAAACAGAAGTTTTGAAGGGCGAACAAACGTTAACTAAGCAACAGAATTCGTTTCCCTGCTCCTGTGTGACACTTCGGGGATGAGACGTTTCGAAAGCTGGACACTAACAGTGTTGAGAATCTGTCCACTTTCGGACAACTTGGCCTGTTCGGGCTGACCACGACAGACATTACGCCCCCTGTCACATTCACACGCGTTAAAGCTGCGTGTATCCTAAACAACTACATTAAAAAAAACATGAAGATACAACACAGACAACACACAAATCACGATGAACAAACACTGTAAAGAGGCAGGTAAACCTGTCCTTGTGTTTAGTTAAGTACCACGTCATGACGGTCAGGGAATTGGAGGTATAGCTCCATGAATTCCTAACCTATGCATTAGATGGAGGTGAGTGGTCAAATTCACGCCCTGTCAGTTTTCCTCGGTACTCATTTGAGAGAGGGTTGGGTGGGCCCAAGAACCATTCCGAATGTGGTGGGAGAGAGAAAATTCTCTTGCCTCTGTCGTGAATCGAACCCCAATTCCTCGGATGTCTAGTATTAGTCTAGTCGCTATACCTAACTCAGCTATCCTGGCCAGTATGAAGTTAGATTTGCATGATTTCGCTCAAGGGCGTCGAAACGTAAACCCCCTCATGCCTCAAGATCTGACTATCAGAAACTGACGTGCGATCACAACCGGAAGCCACACGTAGCACAACACCCCGGCCCGACAACAGTCCTACTGAACACTTCCTCAGTATGCTAACCGCATTCTTTAACTAATTATCCTACAGCCACTACACAAATACACACGTCATGCTGCTGTACCGCCAGCGAGTTTACAGACTTGCATTGGCGAGGTGATCGGTTAGAATCTTCGCCGCTATGCTCACTGAGGTTTTCGTGGTTTTCAGAACATGTCGGAATAGTACATTGACCGCTTCCCTCTGGTCGAGATTCGAACTGAACACCTCCAGCAACCTTTTCGGTGCCTTGATATACAACCGTGTTCACAAAGTTCGCTCCCCGTTTGCGTCAACATTTTGCGACTTGCTACGGAATTTTAGCTTTTCTAACCAGACTCTCTTAGCTCGCGCGAAGGTTGCATTTCGGTCTTCCGCAGAAAACCGCTCTTCAGAACCTTTTCTCGGAAAATACCGGGAATTCTACAGTAGTCATATGTTGTCATTTGCAGCCTTTGAACCCTGCCACAAACAGAAACCCCTCTCAGCCGGTTTGTGTCAACTGGAGCGACCGGTGTGAACACACTCAAACTGCATTCCGTAGCGTCAGATGTTGGCTGTTTGTTATACCTCGATCTGCATCTCGGAAGCGAAATAGAGGTCCACTCTAGACCTCTAAGAATGTCGTGGTTATTTGTCACATCGAGAGCATTTCCTACTTTCGGAAGGTCAGCGTTAAGTCCCTACAGAACTGCATTTTCTACGTGACCGTGTCTAAATGTCCCACTACATGCCGCGCTCTAACCTTCACACAGACTGAACGTGCTGAGAAAAACGTCTGCACCCAAGGGAGAGGAAGTAACTGGATGAAGGGGAAAACTCTACATATAAGTCGATGCACAATTTTGTGATCTTCACTAAATACTGCCATGATGTTCAAACGAATAAAGGACTGAGGTAGACTGGCGAAGCATGTAACAAATGAGTATGAAATTCTGGTCGGAAACCAATAGCAAGCTCTAGTGTAAGGGCAACTTTATTATAATGGACCTTAGAAAAAGAAGGTGGGAGGGTGTCCACTAGACTTATATCGCTCAGGATAAAATCAAAGGTAGGCTCTTGTGAACATGGTATTATTGCTACATTACAAAATGACATTACACAAATATAACACTAGAAAATACACGACCAGCAAGCAGGCTGCTCCATGTTTATTTGGTCAAATTCATTACAGTGACAATGGGAGGCACAAGAGTGAGAAATACGAGTAACATATAAACAGGTATCCGCCAGCTCGAAACTGTTAATGTCGAATGGTAGGCTGATTAGTAAACAGTGAGTTGCGAAGGATGAGGACGTAAGAGGTCGTGGACTAATTTGGGGTGTTATCCCTGTATTTGTTGAACGGGATTGAGAAAAAGCACAAAAACTCCAGTCAAGACATATGTTTCAGCGTAGGTATGAACCCAGAACCTCCTGCACAGAATCCTGAGACAATATGCTGGTATTTCAGCATTTATAATGTGAAATGTGACTGTTGGTTTGAAAGCAATTCGAATAATATGGAGCAAGGTTCTCAAAATGGTGTCTGGTACATACCGAGCACGAACCAATCGTAAGGTTCAACTGTATTATGCACCGTGCCGGTTGGTTTGGAACACGACAACCCAGACACCCACAAAACCCCCAATATTATAAGTTACGAATGGAATTCGCCCGATTTCTGCCTACGCCCTGGTCACGAACACACGCACGCTTCTCCTCGACTGTGACAAAGGCATGGGCCCGTATACTGTGTATGTATGGGCTGTTGCTGACCGCTTGCTGATAGCCGTAGCTCTGATGATGCTATAACGCCTCTTGGGTTTCGACCAAACCCTCACAGAACTCGGACATCTAACCTTACGCCAATATCGTCCGAAAAGAATAAAAACTAGGCCTTCCAGTAGCGAACTGGTCGCTTATCAGCCTCAACATCTGAAATGGCGGTGTCTTATTAGGATGTCACTGTCATTTTGCTATAAAAAGAACAGTAGAGGTCGCCAATGTCACTTGTCGCATCTTCAAAGCCAAACGGTATCACTGAACTCAACACACATTAAACTTTAAACATGTCTCTTCCTCAGTGCACGAACATTTCCGACCTCAACTGGTTTCATGGACAGCGTGTTCACGGGTCAGTAGCACGTTAATGGGAATAACAAACTGAGAACAGCATTACTATTTTGGGCGCATTCGCAACCGCGCTTATCCACGCCTGTCCACCAGTCTGTCCACATCTAACACGTCGTGAAGCGCCGAACGGATTTTCAATGATTCATAAGGGAGAGAAGTTTTGATTAAAATCTGACGACTACTCACTCGTACACGCCTTTGTGCCAGCATCTCGAGTAACTCGTAAATAGAAAATGCTTGCAACGAAACGCATTTTTATGCCTAATGCACATTTCCGGTGTTTCAGAGTTTCAATACAATTACACAAAACGATTTTTTTATATCACGTTAAAGAATAAATACGAGAACCACTGGACAGAGAGAATTTGCCAGGATTGTTCTGCTACGCGCACATGTCTGTTTCCATTTTGGGCTGAGTAATAAGAGTATAAATTAAAACCCAGGTATTTTAGACACCCCCTAGTTGAACAGTGATTTCTAAACAGTTAACACACGGCCGTGTTTCAGGCAATGCTGTGTCAAACGTCTCGACAAAGGAACGTAAGGCAGATATTTTCGTTTGTTTGAACACGAAACTGTAGCATTTAGTGACAAGCCCCGGTTACAGGCAGTCAACAGAGTGCATATTGATTTTCAAGGTTCGAACCGACAGCGAGATTTTATGGGCGCATAAAAGTGTGAATCAGGTCGCTTCCTAGATAATGTTGCAGCTGTTATACACAGTAACATATAGCTTTCCTACGGAAACTTGGGCACAATATCGACCGTCAAGCTAACTCAAAACCGAATCTGGTTCACAGATTATGTTCGATGCATACGGGGTATCTCGGCCACGATTCAACTACTGCGTTCCCTGCGTCTACACCGCACAAACTGCGCTGAAATGTAGACCTCAGGATCTACAGCCTTCTCACTGGGTACAAAAAAAAAGTGGGGAGAGGGGCGAGATTCTGCAAATCCTAACGCGAACAATCCGAGAGGTGCTGTGAATTTCATCGAAGCGGCATGCAGATATAGCAAGTCGAAAATACGATGTCTATTCGCTTCGAATAAGAAACAACTTTTCCAGCGTTGATAATGCACATTTTCTATAAAGCTGTTCACTTGAAGACACGGACAGACACAGACAGACTGTGGCGTCACACAGGGATATGGAGTTGGCACGAGATTGACTGCCTAACCACTAAGTGAGACAAGACACAGACAGAGGGTGTTTGTAAGACAACGGGGTGTTGAGGTGGATATCTGGACCCAGTA